TAGGTAAATTTTATGCATTCTGGCGTTCGTAGATACAAGAAAACTGTTAAAATTCTACAGAAACGTCACTTTTGAAGTGTTTTCTTGTACTTTTAAGCCACTCAGATACCCTATGGGCTCGGAAAGTGCAACGAAACCATCAAATTTTAGCTAGAAGCTGTATTTTTGTCGATTTTTATTGAATTTCAACTATATTTCAACGATTTTTGATGGTTCTGAGCCACCAAACACACTTAAAGCATGCAGAATCGACTCAGAATAGGAAAAGGAGACGTTTAGGTCAATTTTATGCATTCTGGCGTTCGTAGATACAAGAAAACTGTTATAATTCTTCAGAAACGTCACTTTTGAAGTGTTTTCTTGTACTTTTAAGCCACTCAGATACCCTACGGGCTCGGAAAGTGCAACGAAACCATCAAATTTTAGCTAGAAACTGTATTTTTGGCGATTTTTATTGAATTTGAACTATATTTCAACGATTTTTGATGGTTCTGGGCCACCAAACACACTTAAAACATGCAGAATCGACTCAGAATAGGAAAAGGAGACGTTTAGGTCAATTTTATGCATTCTGGCGTTCGTAGATACAAGAAAACTGTTAAAATTCTTCAGAAACGTCACTTTTGAAGTGTTTTCTTGTACTTTTAAGCCACTCAGATACCGTACGGGCTCGGAAAGTGCAACGAAACCATCAAATTTTAGCTAGAAACTGTATTTTTGTCGATTTTTATTGAATTTGAACAATATTTCAACGATTTTTGATGGTTCTGAGCCACCAAACACACTTAAAGCATGCAGAATCGACTCAGAATAGGAAAAGGAGACATTTAGGTCAATTTTATGCATTCTGGCGTTCGTAGATACAAGAAAACTGTTAAAATTCTTCAGAAACGTCACTTTTGAAGTGTTTTCTTGTACTTTTAAGCCACTCAGATACCCTACGGGCTCGGAAAGTGCAACGAAACCATCAAATTTTAGCTAGAAACTGTATTTTTTTCGATTTTTATTGAATTTGAACTACATTTCAACGATTTTTGATGGTTCTGAGCCACCAAACACACTTAAAGCATGCAGTATCGACTCAGAATGGGAAAAGGAGACGTTTAGGTCAATTTTATGCATTCTTGCGTTCGTAGATACAAGAAAACTGTTAAAATTCTTCAGAAACGTCACTTTTGAAGTGTTTTCTTGTGCTTTTAAGCCACTCAGATACCCTACGGTCTCGGAAAGTGCAACGAAACCATCAAATTTTAGCTAGAAACTGTATTTTTGTCGATTTTTATTGAATTTGAACCATATTTCAACGATTTTTGATGGTTCTGAGCCACCAAACACACTTAAAGCATGCAGAATCGACTCAGAATTGGAAAAGAAAACGTTAAGGTCAATTTTATGCATTCTGGCGTTCGTAGATACAAGAAAACTGTTAAAATTCTTCAGAAACGTCACTTTTGAAGTGTTTTCTTGTACTTTTAAGCCACTCAGAGACCCTATGGGCTCGGAAAGTGCAACGAAACCATCAAATTTTAGCTAGAAACTGTATTTTTTCGATTTTTATTGAATTTGAACCATATTTCAACGATTTTTGATGGTTCTGAGCCACCAAACACACTTAAAGCATGCAGAATCGACTCAGAATTGGAAAAGAAAACGTTAAGGTCAATTTTATGCATTCTGGCGTTCGTAGATACAAGAAAACTGTTAAAATTCTTCAGAAACGTCACTTTTGAAGTGTTTTCTTGTACTTTTAAGCCACTCAGATACCCAATGGGCTCGGAAAGTGCAACGAAACCATCAAATTTTAGCTAGAAACTGTATTTTTGTCGATTTTTATTGAATTTGAACTATATTTCAACTATTTTTGATGGTTCTGAGCCACCAAACACACTTTTCTTGTACTTTTAAGCCACTCAGATACCCTATGGGCACGGAAAGTGCAACGAAACCATCAAATTTTAGCTAGAAACTGTATTTTTGTCGATTTTTATTGAATTTGAACTATATTTCAACGATTTTTGATGGTTCTGAGCCACCAAACACACTTTTCTTGTACTTTTAAGCCACTCAGATACCCAATGGGCTCGGAAAGTGCAACGAAACCATCAACTTTTAGCTAGAAACTGTATTTTTGTCGATTTTTATTGAATTTGAACTATATTTCAACGATTTTTGATGGTTCTGAGCCACCAAACACACTTAAAGCATGCAGAATCGACTCAGAATAGGAAAAGGAGACGTTTAGGTCAATTTTATGAATCTGGCGTTCGTAGATACAAGAAAACTGTTAAAATTCTTCAGAAACGTCACTTTTGAAGTGTTTTCTTGTACTTTTAAGCCACTCAGTTACCCTAAGGGCTCGGAAAGTGCAACGAAACCATCAAATTTTAGCTAGAAACTGTATTTTTGGCGATTTTTATTGAATTTGAACTATATTTCAACGATTTTTGATGGTTCTGAGCCACCAAACACACTTAAAGCATGCAGAATCGACTCAGAATAGGAAAAGGAGACGTTTAGGTCAATTTTATGCATTCTGGCGTTCGTAGATACAAGAAAACTGTTATAATTCTTCAGAAACGTCACTTTTGAAGTGTTTTCTTGTACTTTTAAGCCACTCAGATACCCTACGGGCTCGGAAAGTGCAACGAAACCGTCAAATTTTAGCTAGAAACTGTATTTTTGTCGATTTTTATTGAATTTGAACTATATTTCAACGATTTTTGATGGTTCTGAGCCACCAAACACACTTAAAGCATGCAGAATCGACTCAGAATAGGAAAAGGAGACGTTTAGGTCAATTTTATGCATTCTGGCGTTCGTAGATACAAGAAAACTGTTAAAATTCTTCAGAAACGCCACTTTTGAAGTGTTTTCTTGTACTTTTAAGCCACTCAGATACCCTACGGGCTCGGAAAGCGCAACGAAACCATCAAATTTTAGCTAGAAACTGTATTTTTGTCGATTTTTATTGAATTTGAACTATATTTCAACGATTTTTGATGGTTCTGAGCCACCAAACACACTTAAAGCATGCAGAATCGACTCAGAATAGGAAAAGGAGACGTTTAGGTCAATTTTATGAATTCTGGCGTTCGTAGATACAAGAAAACTGTTAAAATTCTTCAGAAACGTCACTTTTGAAGTGTTTTCTTGTACTTTTAAGCCACTCAGATACCCTACGGGCTCGGAAAGTGCAACGAAACTATCAAATTTTAGCTAGAAACTGTATTTTTGTCGATTTTTATTGAATTTGAACTATATTTCAACGATTTTTGATGGTTCTGAGCCACCAAACACACTTAAAGCATGCAGTATCGACTCAGAATGGGAAAAGGAGACGTTTAGGTCAATTTTATGCATTCTTGCGTTCGTAGATACAAGAAAACTGTTAAAATTCTTCAGAAACGTCACTTTTGAAGTGTTTTCTTGTACTTTTAAGCCACTCAGATACCCAACGGGCTCGGAAAGTGCAACGAAACCATCAAATTTTAGCTAGAAACTGTATTTTTGTCGATTTTTATTGAATTTGAACTATATTTCAACTATTTTTGATGGTTCTGAGCCACCAAACACACTTTTCTTGTACTTTTAAGCCACTCAGATACCCTATGGGCTCGGAAAGTGCAACGAAACCATCAAATTTTAGCTAGAAACTGTATTTTTGTCGATTTTTATTGAATTTGAACAATATTTCAACGATTTTTGATGGTTCTGAGCCACCAAACACACTTAAAGCATGCAGAATCGACTCAGAATAGGAAAAGGAGACGTTTAGGTCAATTTTATGAATCTGGCGTTCGTAGATACAAGAAAACTGTTAAAATTCTTCAGAAACGTCACTTTTGAAGTGTTTTCTTGTACTTTTAAGCCACTCAGATACCCTAAGGGCTCGGAAAGTGCAACGAAACCATCAAATTTTAGCTAGAAACTGTATTTTTGTCGATTTTTCTTGAATTTGAACTATATTTCAACGATTTTTGATGGTTCTGAGCCACCAAACACACTTAAAGCATGCAGAATCGACTCAGAATAGGAAAAGGAGACGTTTAGATCAATTTTATGCATTCTGGCGTTCGTAGATACAAGAAAACTGTTAAAATTCTTCAGAAACGTCACTTTTGAAGTGTTTTCTTGTACCCAGTAAACACAGTTATGTCGTAACGATGTTAATGCCACTTAACTCTGTCTACGATCTTGTTAGCTGTTACATCCCAAACTGCGTACATTTGCTTTCCCTGTGCTATGTAATGTAATCAACAGTGACCCATGCTTGTAACATACTGGTGACATCCACACTGTTTCAGACTAGAGACGTGCTCGCTGGTACATCATCATAACGTTGTGTTAGTATGTCGCTAGATTCTCTATATTGTATGTATCTGTTACGTTTTATTTTAAACGCCAATATAACGTATTAAATGGACATAGACGTTACGTTTATATCGCAACATCGTAAACATATGACTCAGTATATTTTATTAACATGATCTATGCGATATGATTAGGCATTTCAGAAAATCTAGTTACCATTTAGGGATATGGATATGGAGAGTAAAATTTAGAGCTTACAGTAAATTATTATTTTATTCAATGTTTGAAAAAATATAATATGTAATAAGTAATAAAATATAAAAATTAATATAAATTCATAATATAAATAAATAAATATATGTATATATGATTTCCTAATTCGAAAATAATACAATATAATTTACACTTAAAAAAAGACACAGAAACTATAAACTGTCGTTGTTTTTTCTTTCTTCAGGCGTTGACTAGAATGCCGTAGCCACTCTGAGCAGCGTTGTTCTACTTCTTTTTCTATTGTGGAATGGGTCTTCATTGTAATTTCTTCAAAAATAAAAATTGTAATAATTATACTTATTGCAAAAAAAAAATACCTTTCATAATATTCATTGTTTTTGTCCCAGCCATTTTGGAATTTTCCTACCGAACAAACAAGCTACAGCAAATTCACTGAATTTTTTTTTTAATATACCCCCCACATTGTTCTTTTTCCCATTACCACCTATCTGGGACGATAGCAGTTCCTGAAATAAGAAAAGAAGAAAATATTTTTATGTGTATATATCGAGTGACTCTGAAATAAGTTCGGAAAATAAAACCACAACATCACGAAGTAGAGAAAATTTTAAGTAATTTCTTTTATCTAGTCCTAATTCAGGGGAAAAAATATCAAGATCTACACCTCATTCAGTGCCATTTGTTTTCATCTAAGCAACACACAGCAAAAATAAAGAAAAAATTTAGTCACAATTGAAACTGAATAAATCATTGCCGCATGATTTACATTCAACAAGATGTTCCGTATTTGTTTCTTGAAACTGGAGCAGCAATTTAATTACTTTGAATCCGTGTGACAATTAAAAGTTTTTTTTTTCCGAATCTATTTGGAAGTCACCGCGTATGTATAACATACAGGGTGCTTCACTATAAGACTTTTCTGCAACCCACTATGTATGTAACGTGTTAAGCGAAATGTGTCATGTTTAGTAGGTGACTAAAAAGTGTTATAGTATTACAGGCATCTACCTGTATATAATATCCAAAATTATGTTATATGTAAGTACATATAAATATATTTAGTCCAGTCATTTTAGCATAAAAAAGGGATCAACCTCGGAATGAGAGACAATAAGCTGAATTTTTGTATACGCCTTAATTTTGGCGTTCTAAAAGTTGTCTCAAAAGTCTCATAAAATCTCGTGTCTGCGTCGTAAGTTATTCAAGGTCAAAAGTCAAGATAAACAGTTTTTTGCAATTATCTCAGTTTGTATTGCTCCAATGATTTTAACAATTATTATCATAATTGTAGAGCACAAAATTTGGAACAAATTTGATTTGAAATATTTTTTCATGCGCTCAATCGTTTTTGAGATAGAGGACAGTGAGCGCGCAGCGCTCGTCCATACGTACTGTAATGCAATCAACCGTGAATATCTGTGAATACTACCTTGAATTTTGAATAATTTGTATTATTAATCAATTAATACATTGTATTTAATAACATTTTACATATTTTCAATATATTCATAGAATAATACTTACCTACTTTGTGTAATTAAAAACTCATTTAATGAAATATTTATTATATATCTCAATTTATTTATATCTTTAAAATGTGTAAGTTTTTAAATACTTATTTTTCTATCATGATTATAACTGGAAGGTCTGGAAACAACAATTCAGGGCACCGAAGATGACGACGATGAAACAGAAATTCCCGAACGTCCAGAAGATAACGGTGAAGAAGAAGAAAATTGATACTTTTGTTCTTTAAATTATTAAAAATTTACAGATTTTCACTGCAATTCAATTTCAATCGTAAGAAATGTACAGCTGCTGAATAAAGATAAAATTAAAATATATTAACTCGTTTTACTTCCTTAAAATTTACTTTGAAAAAATTAATATAACTTTAAGATATATAATAATCTAACCTAAGATATACCTACAATAAATATGTCATTTAAAGAGTTTTTAATTACACAAAGTAGGTAAGTATCATTAAATAAATGTATTGAAAATATGCAAAATGTTATTAAATGCAATGTATTAACTGATAAATAATACAAATTTTTCAAAATTCAAGGTAGTATTCACAGATATTCACGGTTGATTGCATTACAGTATGTATGGATGAACGCTGCGCGCCCACTGCCCTCTATCTCAAAAACGATTAAGTGTATCAAAAAATGTTTCAAAAAAAATTTGTCCCAAATTTTGTGCTCTACAATTATGATAATAAGTGTTAACATCATTAGAGCAATAGAAACCGAGATAATCGCAAAATAATGTTTTTCTTGACCTTTGACCTTGAATAACTTACGACGCAGACACGAGATTTTATGAGACTTTTGAGACAACTTTTAGAACGCTAAAATGAAGGTATATACGAAAATTCAGCTTATTATCTCTTATTCCGAGGTTGATCGCTAATTTGACTGGACTAATTGTATTTTTTTAACTTACAAAGAAACCTGCTTGTTGTAGTAGGCAGAGATAGTCTTCTAATTCCTCAAAATTTGGTTACTTGTGGTCTTGGCGGCATATCTTCTATTACTGTTTTCTTTTTGATTTGTCACATTTGATGACGTTTTCATATTGGAGATTTGTTCACTCGTTTCCTTTAGAATTTCTTTTATTTCGCACATATTTTTTGTATTTGTTTCAAGTCTAGAGTAAAATTATGTTCATTAGCACCTAGTTCATAAAAAATTGCAGTAACATACCTTTGCAACATGTTATGGCAAAGCACCTCACTCTCAAAAACAATCACCGTACGTTCTTCAAAATCAGCGGGAGTATCTTCAGTGATTAATGGTGGTATTTCCAGCTTGTCTGAAAAAACTGTTGTTGTTATTTACGTACAATTATCAAAAACAACAGAAGCATGTAAAAATTAAAATGATTACTTCATTAGAATTATACTAACTTACCTAGTGTAAATTCAACCCACGCTGAATGGCACAATTTCACAAAACTGCATTAAAAATGAAGTGAGTTACGGATTCACGAGAAAGGTTCGGTGGTTGTAAACGAAATGGCTAAATGGAATTCGACAGCTTCACTGTGAGTGTGAAGTGCAATAACCATAAATGCGGAAAAAAGGGATCGTCGACTCATAGACAAACCAAACCAACAAAGGTCCGACTGCACCCCCCAAACATCTGGTGGATAGTAAATGCAGAAGTTGAGCGTTATTTTTTTATTAGATAAAATAAATTTAATAAAATCAAAATTAACCACTCTCTAGTTTTTTTGCTACCCATCATCGCTTTATAAACGTCTTTATAAAATCAAAATTCGACGAATGAACTCTTCAAAACCTTGTCTCGTTTCAGGGACAATGGGCAAAGAATTTTTATGGCTTTGTTTGTGTCGTTGGGTCTTCCCTATATTACCCCAGATGTTTAAGGTGACCAGACTTTCCGATGTGATCGGAACTCTATCGATTTCAATACTCTAATAATTCCTATTTCAAATTTCGTCTAATAAATGTTCCGATTAAAACATTCGTTCCGTGAATGTTCCGATTTCTATATAAATTTGATAAGAATAAAAATAAATCCTCGGATAAATCACTAATTTTCATGAATAGTAATTTTATTTTGTGAAAAATTGGGAACAAAACTTGTATCGATACGGTTGTCAGCACTGTTTTAAATGTCAGCATATGTCAGTACTACTGTTAGTATATTACAACTAAAAATATTCAAAGCAGTTATATATCAGATTACGATGGAAATGGAAACTAATGTTCCGATTTCGGACTTTTGAAATCTGGTCACCTTACAGATGTTCTATTTATAATTTGCCAAGCAGGTACTTACAAAATAACATTTCAAGTAAACAAGTTTACAGAAATAATTCTTAGAAATTATTACAATGAAAAAAACTTGTCTTTGGTATATTTCTAATAAAGCCGTTGTATTTTTCGCTCTGAATATAATTATTAATTAAGCATTACGAACTCACTGACGAAGGTCACTTTTTAAAGAATACGACGACCCACATCTAATTGACCATATAATCTTTAACAATAAATTTCAAATAATACCATAGTGGTTTTTTTAAATTTTGATAGGGTGTTGTAAAACTATTTCTGTTTCTGTTTTCATTCCAGGTACTGTATTTACGTGGGCAAAGGATGCCGCACGTGGGATTTTAGGGGCGGAAACGTATACCTGCTTAGATACTGTAAATACAGTGGTGTCCAACGAAGACAACAACAGAAACATACCCGATGTATTGATTATTAATTTAGAGAGCGGATTTTATGAAATTTGCATATCCGTTATTTTTTGCATATAAGTCTTGATATTTAATATGTGAACGAATCATGCTAATTAAAAATGAATACACATAGTTTGTTTATATCGTAGATTTCGATCCGATCGAATTTCGAGACGATCGAAATTGTCAAACTCACTTTAATCTACGGGCGTTTATATCACGGAAAACAGTCCGTTCGATCTACTAATTTGTAGTTTGAAATTGGTTTGAGTTTGACGTTTGGAGAAAGATAATAGTGTAACATTATTTCTTTTTATCTGTGAAGTGGTCAACATAAATAATAAACCTATAAAAGTTCAAGCCCGTTTACATCGCATCTTCAAGCATTTGAATTCGTCTTAGATCCGATCGGTTCGATTCGATCCGACTAGTTTGTCGGATCGAATTTTGATAGTCAATCCGCTTCAACATTCGATCTGCAGCGTTTATACCATTAGTTTCAATCGGATCGGACTGAGTCAATCGGCTTGAAATCCACGATATAAACTAAGTAACAGCTATAAAAAAATTGCATATTTGCATATATTTACCTTCTGCTGCATATTTCACGTAACGGGTCCATATTTTGCATTTTTATCAATTTTTGTGCTACTTTGAAAAAAAAATGCCATTCGATCGGCATTTTTCTAGAAAAACGAAATTTCACTAATCATATTGCAAATATTGTCCTGAGCTTCAAATAACTGGGAAAGGTTTGGGTTTTATAGTAGTTTCGAAGAACCACCGGGTGTTAAGCCATCCTTCCAGGTAAATTCGGGTCCTAATTACTTTTGGAAATACCGTTCATTTCAATATTTTTGTTCGTTGTATTAATGGTCTTTTATCATGGTCGAAGGGACGTTATCCTATTATTTTTCATCGTGAGTTTGCATTTAAGTATTTAAAGCGATAGAGATGTGTGTCAATGTGTAGATAACTCAAATTAATTTATGAATTAAACCTTTTCCTGAACTTACTCTTCAAGAAGGAACTGTGTTTTGTTGTGACTGCTCTAATCCGATAAGTATTTTTACATCTGTGGACGCAGTACGCAATTTTTCTACTTACAAATACATACTTTAGAATCACCGGAAAAATTTTTGTTAGAATATTTCGAAAAATATTTAAAAATAAATTGTTACCAAAATAGTAATTAAATAGTCGATTACTACTATTTTTTAATTCGTTCTGTTTACAAATATTTATTTTTGAGTATAAGAATGTTATCTTAAAAAATGTCATTTATTTGTCAGTGAGATCTAATTAAACACTTTGCAATGTGATTTATGTATTTTTTGTAATAAAAGGTGAGGTGTTTTTGCAATTTGTAAATAAATTTAGTTCGGTTATTACGCTTTTTTTATTTTTGGAGCATATGCAATTGCATATCTCTGCATATATTAAGAAAGTTATTGCATATTTGCATAAATTTGATGCATGTCATATGATCATATTTCCCAAAATTTTGCTGCATATTTTCCGCTCTCTAGTTATTATACATACACTCTATTACCGACATTAAAAAAAGTCTACACTATTTCGTCATATCTGCTGCTTTATTATCAGTTTTCAGTTAGTTACATATTGGATATGAAATTAAGTGAATTTTTTGAATAAATAATAATTTAAAGATCAACCACGAAAATACTCAATTATAATTATACATTATACATTACCAGTTTATTTTAGAGCCCAAGATTACATTGGAAGTGAAGAAATTATTTAATTCATTTTTATTTAAGAACGATATCGCTGACCTTGAAATAGATTAGTTTTTTAATTTCGATTTTTTTCTTTTTGTTGCTTTTGTTGCCGATCAACATATTTTGCATTAGAATTAATAAAATAATGAAATATATCATTTTATTTTTCGAGCTCATTTCAAAATTCTGTATATGTATAATTGTTCCTTTTTGGTAGTGACGCATAGGCAGAGGTTAAAAAATAATGTCTCATTACTAGTCTTAATTCGTATTACCTGTTAGATCGAACATTTTTTAATTCTGATCATAAACTATGTGCATTAAGTCTTTTGTTCTGTTTTATAAAGCGCAGGTCGTTATGGACATATAAAAATAAAATTATAAATAAATATAATTACAGGAAATATAATATGAAAAAAAAAATTAAGAGCAACTCACTATTGGCGTCATCTCGGTTGTGCAAGATTTAAGACAGGGAAGAAATTTCTTTTTTTAAGACTCAGCATCTTTTGTTTATGAATATACTATTTACTTGCAACACAAACATAAATAATAAATATAAAATAGAGCTATATAATACTCGATATGTATGTTTTTAAATGTTTTTTGCTGTTGCCCTGTCAGAAACGTTAATTTTCGATTTAACATGCCATTTTGTAAAATCAACTGAAAAACACTTTGCATAATTAACTAATAAAAATAAAATATTCCGAAGCATGTATTACCTGCCAACTATATCGCTGCGACACAATAATGAGACATCTAGTAAATGCAGTTAACATTAGGTGTTAGTTACATAACAGGGGTACCACAGTGTGATGATTAAATGCTTATATGCAAGCTATATCGCTGCGACATAATAATGAGATATGTAGTAAATGTAGTCAACATTACGTGTTTGTTACATAGCATGAGTACTCCATTGTGATGTTATATAGCTTACGTTCCAGGTATATCGTTAAGACATAATCATGCGATGTACTTATTGTTCTTTTGTGAGTACGTACCTGTCACGTCAACATCACAACTGGTTTACTGGGTACTTTTAAGCCACTCAGATACCCTATGGGCTCGGAAATTGCAACGAAACCATCAAATTTTAGCTAGAAACTGTATTTTTGGCGATTTTTATTGAATTTGAACTATATTTCAACGATTTTTGATGGTTCTGAGCCACCAAACACACTTAAAGCATGCAGAATCGACTCAGAATAGGAAAAGGAGACGTTTAGGTTAATTTTATGCATTCTGGCGTTCGTAGATACAAGAAAACTGTTATAATTCTTCAGAAACGTCACTTTTGAAGTGTTTTCTTGTACTTTTAAGCCACTCAGATACCCTACGGGCTCGGAAAGTGCAACGAAACCGTCAAATTTTAGCTAGAAACTGTATTTTTGTCGATTTTTATTGAATTTGAACTATATTTCAACGATTTTTGATGGTTCTGAGCCACCAAACACACTTAAAGCATGCAGAATCGACTCAGAATAGGAAAAGGAGACGTTTAGGTCAATTTTATGCATTCTGGCGTTCGTAGATACAAGAAAACTGTTAAAATTCTTCAGAAACGCCACTTTTGAAGTGTTTTCTTGTACTTCTAAGCCACTCAGATACCCTACGGGCTCGGAAAGCGCAACGAAACCATAAAATTTTAGCTAGAAACTGTATTTTTGTCGATTTTTATTGAATTTGAACTATATTTCAACGATTTTTGATGGTTCTGAGCCACCAAACACACTTAAAGCATGCAGTATCGACTCAGAATGGGAAAAGGAGACGTTTAGGTCAATTTTATGCATTCTTGCGTTCGTAGATACAAGAAAACTGTTAAAATTCTTCAGAAACGTCACTTTTGAAGTGTTTTCTTGTACTTTTAAGCCACTCAGATACCCTATGG